ATTTCATGGGTCTAATAAACAGATTGGTTGTGTCACATGCAAGTGAGGTTGTATGGATTTGACGTACACGAACGGGTTGTATGGATTTGACGTACACGAACGGGTTGTATGGATTTGACGTACACGAACGGGTTGTATGGATTTTGACGTACATGAACGGGTTGTATGGATTTTGACATACATGAACGGGTTGTATGGATTTGACGTACATGAACGGGTTGTATGGATTTGATGTACATGAACAGGTTGTATGGATTTGACGTACATAAACATTATCTACAAAATGAATAACCACAGGAGTTTTAAAAATTTCACTTATTTTGCTTCTTTTAAAGGGTAATCCATTCATTAATACTTTACCATTACACATAAATATTTCTAAAAAAATCAGTCAGCTTTACTTACAAGTGGTGTACGACCGTGCTCTTGTTGAAACTTAAAAACTATACAAACTTTTAGTTTAACCTTCATGAACGAGGGAACCACACGACTGTATCACTATAATGAGGCAAGAAGTTGTGTCAGTAGTGTGTTCAAGTACATGAAGACAAAACTTTAGATCATCAAACACTATAAATAAGTATCATCAAACTTTAGTGCTTGTTATAGTTATCTACAATATTCTTGATTCTTGCTCGAAAAATTGTATTCCATAAAATTTGACGAACAGCCATCTTAAATTTGAAACATGAATCGCTATAAAGAATATTTAATTTCTCTTCATTTAGTGTGTGTGTGTGTGTGTGTGTGTGTGTGTTTGTACATATATACATACACACACACAGACAGAAACTGTCACTTAACAACAGGCTTTTATTGGAAAATGTGATCTAAATCCTTGGTCAAGGTACACACCTTTTTTTCTGTGGATAAAAAAGCACTTCGGGTAGGTGTGGCATTACGATCCCATGTAGAAAGCTTCATATCTTCATCCTCTTTTTCAAGTTCATCTTCTTGATTTTTTTCTTTAAAAACTTTCTCTATCTTCCAATCTTTGAATTTTAAATTAAAGCACTCAAATGATCCTGATGTAGAACTACAAGAGGTCCCAGAGCTGCTAGAGTCATCAGTGTCACTCTGAAAGTCAATCCTGTGCATACCAAAGTCCCTTCTGTGAATTACATTTAAACCTCTCTCTATTTCTGTATTTTCAGTTGGAGATTCTTGTTCTGGTAGATCATCATCTGCCAGAATCATAAGTCCTTCTTCTTGTTCCTTGCCAGTTACTTCAACATCTCCACTCTGGTCAGTGCACAAGCTCTCTCTACCAGAAAGGATACTCTCTCCTTCAAAAATCAATTCACCTTTTGGACTTTCTAACACTAAAGGATAGCTATTGTAATAAATGTTTGGGGGACATTGCTCTTCATTGTAACAAAATAGCTGGTTGGACACATCCTGAATAACTTTGTGTCCATTCATGTTCATCGGTTTCTCACCAAATGCCTCCACTGGACTTCTGTAAATGGATAAACCATCTAAACTACAGAAATGACTCTCACTTGGTTCTGTTGTGGAGAAGATGTCATCATGTTCTGAGCACAAAATGCTAAGTTCTTGCTGTTTTGACCTGGATGACGCTTGGTCAAACTGTAATAACCTGAAGACTTCGCTGTTATCTCCTTGATCAACTCTAATTATGGACGTTGAACCAAAGACATTTGAATCATCTTGAAAAGGCCTTGAAAATTCAAAATAATTTTGTTTAGAACCCATTTCCTCACCTTCATGACCTATCTTCTCCGAAACACAGTGAGAACGACTCAGACTGGTTTTTGTTTCTCCTTCATCTTCTTCACTAAGACCTTCGAGTATATCTTCCAACTGGTATTCTCCAACACTTTCACAACTGCTTGTAGAGGTTGTCTGTTCTTTCTCTCCCTCATCGGTCTTCACAACTTCATCATAGAACCTCTCTCTTGGCTGACCAATGTCTATGAAAATGTTATCTACTGGTGTATCTCTGAATTCATTATCACTTTCTTTTAATTTATGATCAGTCATACAACCCTTAAGATATGTTTCATCACAAGAAAAATCTTTGTTAGATTTATCAAGTAGTATAATTCTAGTGGAGCCACAGTTCTTGACGACGTGCTCACCAGCATTCTTGGCCAATGGCAGCATGTTCACCTCTTTACTAACAACCAGGATTGGTGCATTTTCCTTGTCTATTTCCAAGCTTCTGGATAATTCAACAATTTCATTTTGACCGATCACTGTATCAGAATTTTTCTTGGGTGTATTTTCTTCTATGCTTTTACAGATATTTGTCTGAACAACCTGGATATCTTCAGATGACAACAGTTGGTCAAGCACGTTGACGACATTGGAGTCTGTAACTGGTAGGAACTTACCGAATCCTGATGATGGCTCATCAGGAACATGATCTTTCATGTTGTGATGCTGAAACATTCTGTCCTGTAAACTATCGTCTTCTGTGAAAGAGTTGTCTAACACCTCTCTGTCAGGACCTTCTGCCTCTGTACAGGACTGAAAAGGTAAGAAATGACTTTCTTCTATGGAAATGTAATGAGAGTTATCTACAGTGTCAGTACAAGAAACTTCTTTCTCGAGTGTTTCATGTTGTCCAGGTTCACTGCTCTTATCTACCATTACCTTATACTCTTGGTTATTGGATTCTACTGAGTGTAACTCCAATAAAGAAGTTCCTTTATTACTCTGATTAAATAAACTACTAATATATTTTAACTTTTTAACCTCATCATCAAGGATATCATTTACTGAAACTTGAATGTTATCCTCAAAACTGCCACAATCATTACCTTCCATTTCACGATAAGCACTACTGATAGTTGTAGTGTCAATGGTTTGCTCGTCACCTTCCATTTCACGATAAGCACTACTGATAGTTGTAGTGTCAATGGTTTGCTCGTCACCTTCCATTTCATGATAAGCACTACTGATAGTTGTAGTGTCAATGGTTTGCTCTCACTTTCCATTTCACGATCAGCACTACTGATAGTTGTAGTGTCAATGGCTTGCTCGTCACCTTCCATTTCATGATCAGCACTACTGATAGTTGTAGTGTCAATGGTTTGCTCGTCACCTTCCATTTCATGATCAGCACTACTGATAGTTCTAGCGTTAGTGATTTGCTCGTCACCTTCCATTTCATGATAAGCACTACTGATAGTTGTAGTGTCAATGGCTTGCTCGTCACCTTCCATTTCATGATCAGTACTACTGATAGTTGTAGCGTTAGTGATTTGCTCGTCACCTTCCATTTCACGATAAGCACTACTGATAGTTGTAGTGTCAATGGTTTGCTCGTTACCTTCCATTTCACGATCAGCACTACTGATAGCTGTAGTGTCAGTGATTTGCTCATCAGGCTGTGTAGAGTGGAACTCAAACGAAGAAGAAGCCACTTCTTGATTACTCCACTCAAACATACTAATGTCTTCCCCCTGCGTGTCAACTTCTTCACTAGCACCACTTTCCTCCATGTTCGTATTTAAAGGTTCACAGTCACAATAAGATTCTTTCTCAGTTACTTCGCTATTTGGTTCTCCCGGCAGAAATTCAAAAGAGGAAGACACAATTTCTTGATTGCTCTGTTCAAATATATTGTTGTCTATTAACTCCTCCAATTTCTGATCGGTATTAACTTGATCTTTTTCAGTACTAAAACTCTGTTCATGATTTTCATTGTCAGATAAACCATTATAGTCATCTCCTACTATTGTGAAAGGTTTATTACTACAGAAGTCTTCATGTGTTTCTGAAGTCAACAAATGACCCTCATTTGACCGTTTGGGGCTTTCTAGTTTGTTTTCAAACACTATGTGACCCTCAAGCTCATCTTGCAACTTGTCAGTATTATCTTCCTGGACTGTCCCATACACATTGTCCTGCTCTGAACTACGCTCAAGAAGTATATGACCTGAAGAAACAGTGTTAATTTTTGACATCAAGGGATTTGAGTTACTCTCTTGAGGAGTTTCTCTCTGTTGCTTATCACTTGAGGTTATAATACTGTCACCACTATCTAAAGCTGGACTCTGGATTTCCTTCATTGAGAATTTCAAGGTCTCACAACTCAAATCAAGACGACCACCATTATCTTTTACTCCCTCTAAACAGATTCCAGGATTCTTTATCTTATAATGTTCTGTGAATGATGAGATGGGTGAATCAATATTTTCACTGTCAAAAGAAGAAAATGATAATTTTATATCATCAACGGTAACACACGTTTGCTCAGGTTTATCACCCACTTTTGTTCTCATTTCATTATTTGGACCAAGGAACATTTCTTTTTCTCCACATGAAGTAATACTACCAAACTTACACATGGAAGTCCTGAGTTGTTCCTTTTCAGATTCAGTCAGTCCATCAAGTGAAACAATTTCTTTAGCTTTAGTAGCAGGGAACACTTTCAAGCAGTTTGAATAACAGCAATCAGTGATTGAAAATGGAATCCCAGGGTTTTCTAAACAAGAACATCTTTCTCCAGTTTCTTTATCTAAACAAAGGTGAAGAATGGACGTTGGTTTCTCTTCTATGGAATGAAGGCTTACTGTGGAATTGTACTTCACGTACGGATCATCCCCACCACTCCCCATCCTTGTTGAATCAGTGGAGTCATGCCTGATCTTTGAAGACTGTGTGTTTCTATTGGGTTCTTTTTTGTTTGATTCCCATCCAGTTGAGCAATCACTTTCTGTAATATAGCTTTCCTTTCGAGAAGAGTCAAACAAAGTACATCCTTCTTTGCTTAAAACCAAGTGTAGCTCATCATCTTCTGTAGAACCATTTACTTCTTTTAATACTGAAAGATCATTATTTATCTTTTCACTCGCTATCGTTTCTTCTGAATCCTTTCCTGGGAAATTTGGCAGTGTGGTTTCAAGGTGAGTTCTCCAAGACTTGTCACCAACTCCAGTTGGTTGACTTCTTTTCTCTGAACTCGTGTGGCTACTATCAACCTGGTTCGTGTCAGTTGTAGGACATCCTGTTTGGCACAGTTCAGTGCTTGAGCTTTTCGGACCGGATGTTACACTTCTGGTTAAACTATGAGAAGCTGGAAAAATGTTCATGGAAGAACCATCAACGAAACTTTCAGTGCCAGATTTAATACATTCAAAGAACTCCTTCTCTGTATCATGAGAAAAGGATAAAATGTTATCTTTCCCTGAATTACCCTGATGAATAGTATTTGTTAACTGAGAACAATGCAAGTCTGATTTTTCAGACTTATCACTAGGGAAAGTTTTATTAAACTCATTATCTGGTTCATCGTAGTTGTTAAAGTCTTCAGTGTGTTCTATTTCGCGTGCGTGTGTTTCCGTGGAAGCGCTAACTAGCATAATCTCTTGATCTAAGGACACGGCTACATTCTGGAACAGGTCTGATGAAACTACAGCTGTCTCGTTTAAACTACACAGTGGTAGAAGGGTTTCTTCAACCACGGTGACGTTCGTATTATGCGTCTCTCTGTGCTCATTAGAAGCGATAAGATGTGTCAGTTCTGTGGAACTGGAACTCTCTCCAACATCCAGAAATGAAAAACCACCATCTTCAAGGTTTTGATATCCTGGTTGTAAAGTTAGTATCTGCTCTGCTTTCGTATCTTGTTCGGATAACTCTTCTATGCTCCCTCGAAGGTTCTGTAGACTAGGAGACACGCTTCCACGCAGTTTGGCATCATAGTCGATTGTGAAAGATTCGTGAGAAGGTATTTCATTTGGCAACTGTTCAGAATTCAAGGAAAATAACAGACTATCTCTTTTCAATGTATGATCCTGCACACAAACCTCTGGAACAAAATTACTTTCAAACTTTAAGCTGCACTTGGAATCATTAGTAAAAGGAAGATTGTGTTCTCTAGGATCCGGATATAAAGTCTGCCACCTCCTCTCTACATCATCATTGTCAGCAGGTGTAGCATCTTTATTTGTATACAGGTGTGTTAGTAAAGTTTCCAGTGTATCCAACCCAGGCTTTTCACTGTCTTCAACCCAGCAAAGCTTCATAATTTGATATCTGAGGGACACAATAATATCGAAATTATCAAAGACATGAGAATTTTCACACATCAAATCAGCTACCTGTACAATTGACAAAGTAAACAACGGAATATTGATAAAACAATTACTTTTTCTGTTACCGTCCATCCTTGAGGAGCTAATTTACATATCTTAATAGATTTGCTCTTCTACAAACTTCAGATATTTTGTTGTTATAACAAGAAAATTTTAATCAAAACTTGATTTATTCATGAAAGATTTCTCTTAGATTTTTTCAAAGACAATTATGTAAAAGTCAGTTAAAATGTTTGCTTTAGAATTTTCCCGGATAGCTACGCAGAGGGCTATCTCTGCATAGCCATCCCTAATTTGTAACTTAAGAGATCGGAGGGAAAGGCAGCTAGTCAACAACATCCAGGCTTTTGTTGACTGACAATTGGTAGGACTTGACTGTCACTCTTATAATCACAAAGTGTGGAACATGTATATTTGGTAGCAATGGAATGCAAACCATGAATCCCCAGATTGAAAGTACAGGGACACTAACCCTCGTGAAACACCCAAGCAAGTTAAGATGCTATACTGTAAAAGCGTTGATTAATAAAATATTATGATATATATAGCGTACATATTAATACAAATAAAAAATGCTAATAAACCAATGAATGTATTAATCCCCTACAGACACACACACACACACACACACACATAAGCTGGGTCACCTTCATTGTACTGTAATATTGGCTTTACCCAAAAGTTTTATATCTATTTTAACATCGAAATATTAATGTTTGAATGCACATAAGAGAGATAATTCTAAACAGAAAATGTTATACTTCTACTCTCCTGTTAAATAAAGTTTCTGTATTAACACATTGTAACATACAGTTTATGTACGTGAGCTGAAGTTAGGTTCGGTTG